TAGTTTATCTCGATTTATTATAATTTTATATCGTATATATAAAACGAGTGTAAAGTGAGATTGTATTGAGAATCGTGTAATACGGGTGCATGCAGTGCTATGTTATAGTATAAATGTATATATGCACATCATCCATTTCATTTCGTATTGATTTTCACAGAATCTCTGTAACCCTTCACGGGCGACCCTGAGCTAGATAACTTTAGACTTCATTCACGACGAAACGAGTCCTTTGATGCACCACTAAAAAAATAATTGTTTTTTAACAATAATAATTGAAGGTTGAGGAAACGAAATTTGCTGTTATTGAAATTTAAAACTAGTTATGCATGGCATCGTGCCATAAGGCAAATTGCTGAAACTTCCCGCACCGTAATTAAGCATTCGAGAAGAAAAAACATTCAACAAATATTTGATCAATGAATATATAATTACAGAAACTGAAAACTTCATTGATTGTTTCTTATAAACAAAGTGTAAAGCTTATTAAATTAGACGTCTCTCATATACGATTAAATGAAAATATATATATATATATATATAGATATATATATATTTCATTTAATTTTAATTTATATATAATATATATATATATATATATATATATAGAATTTATGATATGAGTGGAACGAATATTAATTGTTTAATATGAACAAAACAGCACTCAGATTTGTTTAACACAACTTTATTTTATGATTACAGACGTTTCGAGACCATGGTGTGTCTCATCTTCAGTGTAATTTCAAAAACAGTTACTTATATACTACACATTCTTTAATAATTTATTTAAATTCATTTAATTTTTGGTATACAAAAAACACCAACTATTCCTTGCAATGCTTGACACAGTACTAAAGAAACATATAACACTTACAGAAATATTCTAAACAAATTTGAAGTACTTATCTAGATGGAGACAGAGAGGGTATCATTATAATGTAAACAAAAGGAGTGCTATCGCATACAAAAATCGATAAAAATGAAAAAACAAATTAATTTATTGAAAAGAATAAGATAAATGAAAAAATTTATAAATTATTAATGATGTTTATATAAGTGTCATGTAAAATATTTGTGTCGGTTCTTAGATTTATGCTATTGTTAGTCCGAACTATTAACATTGATTCTGCCATGCTCCGTTTAAATAAGTCTTTCTCATGGAATAAAATTTGGGGATTGTCAAAATCAAACTTATGGTTGTTGATATTAGCATGATCCACAAGTGTACTTTTAAATTTTTTGTTATCTATTTTTTCACATTGTAATTCATGTTGCCTGAGTCTCTTTTCTAAGTTCTGGCAGGTCTGGCCAATATAAGAGCAATTACAATCCAAACAATTTACTTTATAAACTATATCTTTCTTTTTTGTTAATGGAGTTTCATCTTTAATTTGGAATATAAAAATTTTAATTGTTTTAATGGAGAAAAAGTAATACGAATATTGTGTTTTTTGCTACATTGCAATTTCTCTGACATATTATATGTAATTATATTTAATAGTGCACAGACACTAGTGCTTGTATGTCCTAAAATTGTAGCTTATTATTTTAAATTTTAATGAATTGCTAATGTTCGAGTCATCTCAACACATAAGCAATTTTTGGCACAAATTTTAACTATAATGTTTTATCAAACTTTGATGAATTTTTAAAATTAAACGACTTGCCGTAGAAACGTAAATTTTGTATGTTGTTAAGGATCATGATATATATTAACATAAAAAGTTTCATCAAAAATTTTTTTCAACAGTTATTACGAAGAAACGGCTTGACCCATCTTTGTCCAAAACTAATCAGCACGACTCCCAAATAATATCTTATAAACAGTTTCTGAATTTTTAAAATCGGTTCAAAATTTTTGCTAAAAATTAGACGGAAAATTTTTCACTTTTCTGCTAATTACAAAAAACGGCTTTTGTAATGTGTAGTTGCAAAAAACTTCTTGTATATACTCTATAATAAATATATTATAGAATATTACAGGACCGTAACGTAATATAGAAATTGAAATTTCATAAATTTCTGATTTTTTCAAAACTATTTGTTTTAAATTTTTATTCATATGAGCTAATTATTAAGTTGATATAATTTTTAGCATTATATCGCATTATTAAAAATAAATTAAAATTAAATTTATCACATAATGTTACTATATAAATTTAATGAATATATGAGTTAATTAATATCGTCGGGAATATTAAAACGCGCAATAAAATGATTTAAATCGCAGTAATAAATTTATAACATTTTTGGTAACATGTCGGCTAATAAATAATTGAGTTTACATAAACGATCAGATAATGATTTCAGAATTTATATATTGAATATTGTTTAAACTATGGCCATGGATGATAAAAATTGATTTACGAATTCAAGTACGTTTTTAAATATGTATTTTTAACAATCACTTGTTGTTTACCAGCCTTTATATAAAAAGGCTAATATGAATAGATAAAATTACTTCAAAAATTATATGATAAAATATTTACTCATTTTTATATCGATATTTATAAAATATGAAAAATAAATAGGTTTATAAAATACCTCGTGAACATAATTACTGACTTTGTACATACAATTATTTTGCTGGTAAGGCAAGCATTGCAAGTATAAACTATAGCGAATTCTTAAAGTAAACTTTAATGATACACATTTAATTAATAAATGTAAAGGATACTCCAAGCAAAATTAACACCCCGGCGAAAACAAGTCTTTCAATCAAATACTATAAGGACTATAGAAAAAATGAATTTAGATATTTATTTACAAAGTCTTTATTTTACTTTAATAATTAATAATTTTATGATTTAAAACATTGCTGATACTTCCATTTAAATCTCGCCGCATTATATTCTTGTAATATTCTTTAAATAGTGTAATATGAATTGAAAAAATCTCGAGCTCAACTTATTTAGAAAATGTTAGTTTTAATGCAGTATTTGAAAATGTTCAACTTTCTGTTTAGTTTTAAATTATTATTAAACCGTAGATTTACCAGTCATTTTTGCTGGTCGTACAACTTCAATTCAAAACTTTTCTCCATACAATTTTATTTTTCGAATTCTTCAACTTTTGCAGATACAAATAGAATAAAATTGTTTACCGATTACAAATATATTTTAAATTATTGCAAAAAAAATATTTTTGATAGAAATGTAAAATAATATTCCAATATGTAACCTACCAGTCCTTCTACATCCTGAACGTCAGTTAAGTGAAATTAACATTATATTCAATTTAATATGTGCAGGTTATATCAAATTGTTGGTATAAATTAATTTCTCGTGAATCTTAATCAACCGTAATGAATATATTAGTAATTATAATTAATACAAATAAGCATTTTCGTTAGACAGTTAGATCGTTCCCTCGTTAGGGTTTCTGCAATCAAAGAAGATGCTTTCATTAAAACAATCGAAAGTTTAAGGAGTTATAGGTTAATTAAATTATATTGTACTTACCACACATACATATATATATATATGGCGGAATGAACACCATATGAAGTTGAAGGACGTCAATTGATGACAATGGCGGAATGAACACCATATGACAGATGTCAGTTGAATAACGTCAATTGATGACAAAACTAAATTATATTGGGCTACGTTGATTCGGATCTGGCATCAAGCAAGCTATAACGATCTGATTGTTTTTATACGATCGTAGATTATTGTCGCGCTTTTTAAAACGATCGAAAATATTGTATCGAGTTTTTTGCCAACGAGCGTTTTCTCGTGATCGAAATTTAGATTTGATTTAATGTAATATCAACATCTTTATCAATTGAGACATTAATAAACAGTCATTATCGAGTTGAAATAAAATTATTGCGATTTCATTCAAGAATTAATTAATTAATAATATATGGCCCACCAGCGCCATAATTGGTGACTCCGAACGTGTAAGTGAAATCATTAAGCAAGAGACATTCTCAACGTCTTAGTACCCATAATTGGTGACGTCAGACGGAGAAAGGAAAACACTTGTCAAATACAAGTAAATTAATAAAGGTAAATTATACCAATTTTTATCAACATGTCGACTCGATCTACGTCCGTCAATGACGAAACAGCGCTCAACAGATCTCTGATCGATCTGGATCACGAGGCGATCTTTAACACGAGCAGTCCTCGTGTTTCTGAACATGAACATGACAGTTATGCTGATCAATACAATATAGCAGCATTTAACAATCACCGTCTCACTCCATTCAATGGAGATTCTCCAGACCTATGGTTTTTAGTTATTGAACATGAGTTTCAGTCTGCTAGGATCAGGAGTGACAATACTAAGTACACAGCAGTACTCAAAGCCCTAGACTTCGAGACACTGCGCCTCATCCAGGATGTCCTCCGTAATCCACCAATGACAGGCAAATACGAATATATCAAAAACACTATATTAAGCAGAATGTCTGAATCTAGAGGTAAGCAAATTGACAAGCTATTAAAAAACTTAACTCTAGGAGAGAAGAAACCATCACAGCTTCTACAAGAAATGATGAATTTGGCTAAGGGAGAGGTCAGTGAAGACATCATAATTAAATTGTGGTCAGAACGCCTGCCACACCATATTCGGCCACAATTAATAGTTTCTCGCCATCTTGGTCCGGAAGCCCTGGCGGAAGTTGCCGATATTTTGGTCGATCACTGTAGCCCCACATCACATGTGATGTCCACAACACACAAGTCTTCAGTAGAACAGAGACTGGACCGCCACGAAACTCTTCTTATGTCATGCGTCCAGGAAATCAAGGAACTAAAGGCAATGTTGAACACTGAAAGACAGAGAAATGATCAGCAAGAATCACAACTCAACCAGTCAAGATCAAGAAGTGAACAACTCAATCAGTCAAGTTCTAGAAGTGGTTCTCGACATAGGTCCAGGACACCTTCACGTGGATCGGTTTGCTACTATCATTACAGATATGGGGAGAAGGCCACAAAGTGTGAAGAGCCCTGCCTGCTTAAATCTCTAAACCAGTCAAAAAACTTACTTCACCGTCATTAAGTGGAGCTTGCCATGACGGTGAAGTAAATTCTGTCTGCTCTGAGCTCCGTCTTCATATATCAGACAGAAAGACGGCAATCCAATTTCTTATAGATTCAGGATCAGTTATATCCATTTTACCAGCTCAGAAGTTTGCCGATGGTCATCCTAAGGAAGAGTTAGTTCTATTTGCAGCAAACTCTAGCAGAATATCCACGTATGGAAAGAGAACTCTGGAGCTGGATTTATCTTTACGCAGAAGCTTTAGCTGGCAGTTTGTTGTTGCCGATGTAGCCACAGCCATAATAGGAGCTGATTTCCTAAGCAACTACAATTTATTAATAGACTTGAAGGGTAGAAGATTGATTGATTCGACTACAGGCCTTACCTCTGATGGAAAGGTACTCAAGGCACAGCAAGTTAACATCTCCACTGTCAACCCGGCAGAGCCCTTCAAGGATTTACTGGCACAATACATCGCAATAACAAAGCCACAGGTAACCACCAATAATAAATCATCTCTTTTTGCCCACAGGATAACCACAACAGGTCCACCATTAGCTTCCAGATTCAGGAAGATCTTCGGAGAAAAGGCTGTTGCAGCCAGGTCCGAGATACAAGATCTCCTGAATAGGGGCATTTTGAGGCCTTCCAACAGTCCATGGGCAAGCCCTATTCACATGGTTCCCAAAAAGAATGGCACATTCAGAATGTGTGGAGATTACAGGAGGCTGAACGCAAACACACTACCTGACAGGTATCCTCCACCATTAATACAAGATGTATTCAATAATCTGCATCAGAAAGCAGTATTTTCTACAATAGATTTAGAAAAAGCTTACCACCAAGTACCCATGCATGAAGAGGATATACAAAAGACTGCAATTATCACACCATGGGGACTCTTCGAGTATCTACGTATGCCATTTGGACTCAAAAACGCTGCCCAGACATTCCAGAGGTTTATCAATCACATATTCCAAGATTTTAATTTTGTTTTCATTTATATAGACGACATCCTGGTAATGTCGACTGATATGAATGAGCACCGTCGTCATCTTCAATTGGTTTTTGAGAGGCTACAGGAATATTCTCTTACAATAAACTTAGAGAAATGTGCCTTTGGAAAAGATGAAGTTAACTTCCTCGGTTACAAACTGAGTGCTGCAGGATATTCTCCTTCACCAGACCGAGTAGAGAAAATTATTAATTATCCAAAACCTTCGACAGTTATAGAACTCAGAAGATTTTTGGGAATGGTAAACTATTATCGTAAATCAATACCCAAGGCAGCAAATATACAAGCACCACTTTATGAGTATGTGAAGTCCTCAGTTAAAAACGACAAGACTCAAATTGAATGGAATGACAATTCATTATCAGCATTCAGCAAGCTGAAGGAAGCTCTAGCAAATGCAACTCTTCTTCATTTTCCTTCAAGTATAGCAAATATTAATTTAATTACAGATGCATCCACAACAGCCATTGGAGCAACTCTGGAGCAGGAAGAAAATGGTGCATGGCACCCTATAGGTTTCTTTTCCAGAAAGCTCACAGCTACTGAACAGCGATATTCAACTTACGATCGCGAGCTACTAGCCATCTTTGCGGCTTTAAAGTATTTTGAATATCTATTAGAAGGAAGGCACTTTATAATCAAGACAGACCACAAGCCAATCACACACGCATTTCAACAAAAACTGGAGAAAGCATCAGATCGTCAGCGACGGCAGCTAGAATACATATCACAGTTTTCCACTGATATTATATATGTGAAGGGTGATCAGAACGTTGTTGCTGATGCGTTGTCCAGGATCAATGCCATTCAAATGCCATCAAAGCTAACCGAAGAGGAAATTTCGCAAGAACAGAGTAAGGACGTTGAAATGCAAACTATATTGAACGGCAACACCTCTATTAATCTTCAAAAATTGACATTAGGGGGGTATCCAGTTTATTGCAACAGGCAAGATAATTGTGTGAAGCCCTACCTTCCACAAAGTCTTCGCAGAATTGCTTTTGACATTGTACATGGAAATGCACACCCAAGCATAAGGATTACTTCAAGGGAGTTGCGAAGAAGGTATGTGTGGCCTGGGATTGGTAAAGACGTCACCATGTGGGCACGTCAATGCATTCCTTGCCAAAAATCCAAAATTCATAAACATAATCACCTCACTCCTATCCATATTCCTATTCCTGAAAACAGATTTTCGCATATTCACATTGACATAATCAAATTACCGAATATTAATGGATATCCTTATTGCCTAACAATCATCGACAGATTTACAAGGTGGCCAGAAGCTGTTCCTCTAAAGGACATTTCTGCAGACACGATTGTCCAAGCCCTATTTTCAAACTGGATATCAAGATTTGGTACACCATGTGTGATAACATCCGACCAAGGATGCCAGTTTGAATCAGCTATATTCAAATCACTAATGAATGCAATAGGTGCTAAGAAAATACGGACAACGGCATATCACCCTCAGTCCAATGGTCTAGTTGAACGCTGGCATAGAACTCTGAAAGCAGCTTTAATGTGCTCTCCTGAGCCTTGGATCGAAGTATTACCTGTAGTCTTACTAGGTTTACGTTCTTCATACAAAGAAGACCTTAAAGCATCTCCTGCTGAGATGGTTTATGGAACCACATTGAGACTACCAGGAGAGTTTTTCACAAATAAAGAACTGTCATCCGATCCACAAGCATTTCTGGACTACCACAGAAGAATAATGCGGGATATTAAACCTACAGCCACAGCTCATCATAATAAAGCCAATATGTTTGTGCTTAAGGACATAAATACATGCACTCATGTATTTGTAAGATCAGATCATATTAGAAAACCACTTGAGCCTCCATATAGTGGACCATATGAAATTATAGAAAGAATTTCAGACAAAGTGTTCAAAATTTCTATGGATGGAACTGATAAGAACATATCGGTTGACAGACTAAAACCAGCATATACAGTTAAAATAGATAACAGTCAACCAAGCTCATC